AGTCCTGTTAACATTAGCAACAAACCCAAAAGGCAATATGCATTAAATAGAAACTGCCTCTTCCCCAATGGGAGGATGCAGATACTTGTGGGACTCCCAGCCGGGTCTGGCTTGGTTTTTGACTCTGTGAAAGCTGGAGTAGAGCATCTGGAAGAGCCACACTGCACAGCAACTGGCTGCACAACAGAGGCCCACTGTGCTCAGCCTGACACGCATGTGATTCTCACAGGCTGTCTGCACCTGCTGTTTGATGACTGCTATATGTGTATATTTGACCACTACTCTAAGAGCCTTCAGTTTGCGCATGTCTTGCCTCCAGAGGTGGCCTGTGCTGAGATATTCAAGCTAAAAACATTGTTTTAGCAATAGATTCCTCTTTACACCTGATACCTGTTCTGATTGCTGAAGACATGGCATTTTATCTTTCTTATAGCAGACTGGACAACTATGCAGGTGAAGTAACACCATCTATGTCTTCTGTCTACCATAAAAATAGAGACATGGAGACTGATGGTATTGATTTGGTTTGCATTAAATTATGTCAGGTTATTAATTGAAGTTGTTTTGGTGCTAAACAGTACAACTGACAGTCAGTAAAATAGAGGCAGAATAGAGTTTTCTAGTATTGTTTTGTGGTTAGTTATTCAGTCTATTTCTGAACATAACAAACTATCTATAAGACTGTACATATTATATCTCCTGGGAACAAATAACGGTTTCACAAAATTGCTTCAATAAGTCTACAGCTTACTTTCTATTTTCAGACTAGCTGTCAATAAAATGTTACCAGTGACAAGTATTTCAGCTAATTTAACTGAGCAGGTTGTTGGGTATTTTTCAGCTGTCTGAGCTTTAAAAGCCTGTAGGTCTGGCCTTAGATATCATCTCCTCCACTGGCACGGATAGCTCAATGGTAGACAACACAAACATACTGCCAGCGTATAAATCCTCCTGCTTTAGCACTCCATCACACGCAGTTCCAGAGGCACCCCTTTTGAACCTTTCTGATTTTGGCCCCTTTTCCCCCTGCTTCAGATCTTGAGCCATGCGTGGAGCTGTTGTGTTTCAGTGAGGGAGAGATGGAAAGCGAGGAGCAGGCTACTCTCAGGGGGAATCCCTGAGTTCATCTGAGGAGAGCTGGATTCACTTATGATTTGAATGGAGAAAAATTGGGGAATTGGTTAATATGCACAGAGTGCCGTGATGTGCATGAGACTGGTGGCCTCAAGCGCCCCTGAAAAGTACACTACTAGAGAAGGGAGAAAAAGAATGAAGAAAATTCGAATGCAAAAATGTTCTCTGCTCACGAGGCCTCACTGTAAAAATGAGCTAAAGTAGAAACAGTCAGTGATGCTGACAGGTGCTCCTCAACCTCCATTCACTCAAACTTCCCCGCTGCATTCCAAGCTGACATTTTACACTGCATTTGGGTACTCATTGGAAGGTTGTGCACACCACATGGTTAATTAGTAAATATAACTTCACTCCATTTGGGTGCTTGTTGGAAGATGGAAGTCACTCACTTTTTGCCATTGTATCATCCTGCTACTTGCCAAACACAGCTGTGAGAGGCGAGTCCATGCAGAGGGCCATGTGAAGAGGCTCATGGGAGGCGCGTGCTCCCTGTAAAAGGGGAAATTAATGTTGTTTATTTTGTTGTCGATTAATTTAAATTGTGTATATTTGTTATTTGTGATATTTTCTGTTGGGGGATGTGGCTATTTTGTGTTGGGGGGGTTGATCACCACGAGGTGGAAACCTATGGCTGGTAGTGACCTCTGTGAGTTCATCGTTTTGTATGTGTCTTTTTGCTGAGTGTTTAATAAAACAGTTATATCTCAAGCAGACTCATGGCCACGCTGTGTTTTTCTCTATGCTGATGCCACAGTGGTGTCAGAAGTGAAATGTAACTGTCACAGGATTGCTGAAATTCATACTGCGACCAGCATGTACATGCATGGTGAAAAAAGCACATCAAATGGCTGGAAGGCAACCACTGTGCAGCTCAAGTCAGTCACCACCGGCTTGTGGAGTGATGTTGTTGCTGCTGTTGCACCCAGCTGCATGGGACTCATGGGGAGTTCTGCCACAAGCAGGAGGAGGCATGGTGGTAAGGACACAGGCCCGGGTGAGGACTTGGGTTGCTCGCCACCGAAGAGTGAGCTACCAGTGGTGTTTGTGCTGGCCACGGACTTGGGTTTGACCTGGTGGGTTGCCGGGATGGTCGACCTTTGAAAGGGAGGATATGTAGTGGCCCGCTACTGGCCGTGTGTGGCTATGAGATGCTCGGGAGACGTGGCCATGCAGGGGTGTAGGTATTTTGTGTTGAGGGTTGGTCACCATGGAGGGAAAGCCTATGGCTGGTGGTGACCTCCCCCCCCGTGAGTTCAGTGCTTCGCATGTGTCTTTTGGCCTGGTGTTTAATAAAAGAACACCACCTTCAGCAGAATAATTGCCTCCTCTGTTAAATGAAAACACAGAGTTGTTTATTTTATTTTAACTATACAGAACACATCAGGTATATTTTTCAAATCTGTGCATTTTTCATCATCAGGAATGGTAAAAGGTGATGTCATACACTAGATTGTGTAAACCTGTCTATCATCCAGAACCCCACCTGTAAATATGACTTTGTTAGCTGTTCATTGCAATGTCTGAGTAGGAAAATTGGTATTTCCTACTTAATTGTTTCTTAATCCTGCTCCTGGTGGCCTACAGCGCTACCCAGATTCACTGTTCCCCACCCTGACCAGGCCTGATCCACCAAATATAAATACAGGAATCCACCTGATCCACCTCAAAAAAAGGTCCCATAATCAGTTGATGAGTTGGTTGTGTTAAAGATGTGTTAAATCAAGGAACACTTGAAAACACACAGTGCTGTGGGTCAACAGGAACAGGATTAGCACTGAAGCAAAAGAGTTGGAAATAACTTCCTTTCATTTGTGCTTTTGCCTGATCTGGTACCCATGTGGATCCACATGCTAGTCAGCACTGCTGATATAATTAGTGAGTACTACAGATAATGCAAAACTGAGGAATGCCGAAGTTTTCTTTTTTATGAACACTTTTATGAAGTTTTGTTAGTGCCTTAATTCTGAGTGTGTGTATCTTTTGTTTTCAGTCTCACTGGTTATCCCCCCCCCAGATCTTGTCTGCTAGTTTTTGCCTGTTTTTATGGATTTTGACTTTGTGGGTTTGAGAAGTTTTTTTTTTTATTTGTAACAGGAGGCAGGAAGAAAATGAAAGGCCTTTCATCTTTAAAAAGTTGTGAAAAAGATTGTGGGATGTCTGTGGGAGAGAGCTGGATTCTTTACCTGAGCACACTCTAGCGGGGGGTCAGAAGGAGGGTAAAAATCAATGCAGGGACGATGTCAACCTCACTCCAATCAAAAAATAAAAATAATAATAAAGGTTGGAGCAGCTCCAAAATGCTGATGTGGTCCTGCAGGGGTTTCACAATAGTGGAGTAAAGTGAATGAAAACACTTCATGCTGAGATTTACCAGCAGAGTCCATCTAGGACAGGACACCTCATCAGAGATACCATCAAACTACCACTGAGGAGAGAGAGCGAGAAAAAGAGAAAAAAGGGGTGAGGGAGGGAGGTGAGAAGAAAAGGGAGAGAAGTGAAAATGACAACGAGTGGGGTGAGAAAAAGAGGAATAGGGTGAATGAGAGGGAAAGCTGCATCCCACGGAGTCAACGCAAGAATTTATGGTCAGGAAGGGGGATGAAAGCGTAATTTACGGTGAACTCTCTACTGTTGTCCTGCCCTCCCCTCTGTAATGAGAAACGGCTGTTGGGGTTGTGGGCCGCAGGCCTCACAAGACCCCTCCCCCTGGCGATGACACATCATTAGTTTTTATTTCTGTCTCTACTTTTACAGCTCTCATTCGGGCGCCAACTATTGCTGTGCAGTCAATGCGCTGTATTAGCACGGCATGCACACATATCCACCTCCCAAGATGGCGTCCCGTTGCTCAGAGTCATGGCCTGGAAGCACCAGTTCCCAAAATTTAATGTAATAATGTATCTCCTGCACATGTGATCCTCTACTACATCACCCTAGCTGTTCAAGAAAAAAGAAATACATGAATCCCATCTCAAGAATCTGGAATGATTTCTGCCAAAGTCAAGCTTGCCCAATAAGAAAAGAAGTAAGGGACTTTCTATAAACAACTCACACTGTGAAATCCTGCTATGTACAAAAAAAATTACACAAAAATTACACTTATTACATACTAGGGCTTATTATTTAGTAAATACAGAAATTACAATGCAAACTAGCTGAGCTGTCCTTAGGTTATAAAACTGTGTAGTAAAATTTTGGGCCCACCAGTGGGTTAAATCTAAATTTATGAAAAAAGAAGGTAACACTATTTGGAGTGTTCCTTTAGTAGATGATTTATAACCTCTTAATGGATTATCATGAACACATCAACAACATTTCAGTGAAGTAGCAGTACTGAAGCATCTGAGTACGCTAAAGTAAATATCTTTAAGACATACTGTTATTATATATTACTTACATTAAGTAGATGCACTGTTAATATGTCACTTCCATAATGCAAAACCTAACCTTACCCAACCTTACCCCAAACCTAACCCTAAACCTGGCCCTAATCCCAACTCTAACCTTAACCTCGACCCAAAACCTAATCCTAACCCTGATATGTTTCTGACATGTTACTAACATGTTAACAAGTCTGTTGAGTGTTTGTTTCATCTAAAAGGACCACTCAAAGTGTCACCAAATGGAAAATGAAAAATGCAAGAAAGTGCAAGCGAATGTAACAATGCAGAATAAGAATGTGTAAGAACTCAAGGCCACACAAAACATACTTCAGAATAATTAAGCATATTTATTGCATCCAAATTTTTATTTAAGTAAATTGTACATTTAATTTTATGCAGGAGTTTGAAATAATAAGGTATGCAATAACAAAGTATATTGTATTAACAAAGTAAACAGAATCAATACAAACTGAAGTTGACCATTTCAGTGTTGGAATTCAGATTATGAATGTCCATGGTGAATATCTACTGAGGAAGCAAGTATGTTTGTGTTAAGCAAAAAGACTAAGAAAATGCTACAAAAACTGTCGTTGAAAGTTAAAATTGCATCATTTGTATGATAGAGCTTTGCCTTCTCTGATACTGGTGCATATTGCGGAGCATCACTGGATTATGTGCTAAATATATCTGTCCCTGTTGCAAACATATATGCATAATAACTGAGCAGCCATATGGTATGTAGATTGCTGTATGGTATGTAGAGGCTAGTGAAATATCTGTGTACAATGTGCCCATTTCCTTTTCACTTCAGTGGGTTGGTCACACGTGTCCTGTAATCTAATGTAGACATACGGTCCATGCTCCAAACAGCACATATTTGCATGGATAAGTGAGTTCATCTGCTCACAGACCATTCTGAACATTCACACAAACTTTATCCCTCTTTTCCCCTCATAAGAACACAGAGACATATACAAACATAAACACGCACTCAAACACAGGTCACATACAACTCAAACGAACATTTTACATTCACTTTATCATTCATTCTGTGCGGATTACTGTGTATTGTTTGATCAGCTTTTTTGTTATACATTGTCAGCTAAAGCGATAAAAACTGGAAAGCTTTGTTTAACAGACCATTGCATAAGATTGGTGTCTGGAACTTCAGGTGTCATCTTACTTTCAAATTGATCTTGAATCATTTTATCTAAAGAAATGACCATTATCAAAATAAACTCTTTCTCTCTCTTAAACCACAAATTATTTCCAGTGACTTGCTTTTGTTTCATCATAAAATAGAAATAAAAAACTAAAGTATCTCGATAGTGTTCATTCTCTCCATGCTTACTTATACAAGTTGCGCATCAACACTCTCCATCTGTTTGGTACCTGTCACAAAAGTAAGCAGAGCCAACACTGGAGCAGGAAAACCAAATTAAAGTGAGATTAGGAAAACAGCAACAAGGATGTTAACAGCTTTTAAATGTTCTGGAATCAAGGAAGGATGGAAGACCTCATTTGAAGTGTCTTCCACGATGCGGCTATAGAAGTCTTCAATCCTTTGATCAAATGCTTACAAAACATTGCTTCTGCCAAACACTCATTATGGCCAGACTTACAAAAAGACAACCTTCAGAAGTAGAGTCTTTCAAAGTGCTTCCAACTGCACAGACAAATGCCTTTTTCCTACTTCTCCTCTAGCTTAATACAGTACATAGTTCATTATTTATTGCAGCAATCCTCCAGTTCTTTTTGAGCATTTTCATGAATGCGCAGCAGCATTATTCCTTTTCAGTTTGACACTCAGCAGCCTTTTGGGGTGGATCATGTTCTTTCCTTTCGTTAGTCCACCACTACTTGTTACTGCAAGGTTAGGTCACGGTGCTCGTTATAATGGATGGCGCAGTAGTCGCTGAATTCTGGGCCTTTTTCCTTTTGCCGCCCCCTTTGGCACTCTCCTTGGAGTCCCGACCACGGATTTTTCCATTTGTTGGTCCTGGGTTCTTTGAAGTCGTCCCCTTGTCTCCTGAATAAATCAAATTCACATATTTAGAACCCCGTGGAGCACAAATGACTGCCTGAATTCAAGTCCTATCACTATGGGACTGGATATGAATAGTATGTGTACAGGTGGAGGATATGACGTCAAGTTATGCATTTCTAAGTATATAATGGGTACTTTTAGAGCACTGAACAACTACATGTGGTTGCCTACAAACAATAACAACTAGTGATTGCATAAACTGCATTGTAACAAGCAGCTGACTGGATGTTAGTCCATTATGTCAATATCATATTTCAGCAGTTTATTGAAGCATGGTTTTTATGTTAAATGTGGCACCACTGTTTTTCTGGTGTATTTTATCTGTTCCAACTTGTTTGCAAACCTCTAAAAACAAAATATTGTGATACAAATTGTCTACTGTGAAATTGCCTTCAAGTATTTGTATAATATCATCTGCCCTTATGCTTGAATTTTGACTTTTAAAAAATAAAAACTCCTCATCTCTGGCTCTAAAGGACAAGTGCATAGTTATTTGTAAATGCCATCATGATGCAACCCAGCACCATTCAAAGCTGACAGGAAACACACAACAGTGCTCCGTATGCCATTACTGCTGCCCAGACAGTAATAATCAAGGCCTTGTGAGGGTTGACGCCCGGGACTGGAGAAGTCTCAACACTTAGGGAGACAAAGCCTGAAGGAACATAATGGCCTTTATGAACACTGGAGCTGGCCGAAGTGAGACACTCTTCCAAAAGCCCTCCTCCCCACACCCTCTCGCAGCTAAGATCCATGTGTGTATGTGTCTGTCACTTATTTTAAGTGCATAACTACTTCATCAATGCAAACATCCATTAGAGAGGCTTTCAGAGGCCTGAGGTCAGGGAGAGAAATACAACAGAGCTTGAATGTGAGATGTTCCGAATAAAAAGCCAGGATATGATAAGTGGGGATAGTCGACAAATCTTCAGACTAACACTGTTTAACACTGATACAACTTTTACAGTCAAAGTCATACTGTATGCACATTATAATATCTTAACCAAGTATGCTCAACAGAAGTGGGTAGTAATTCGGTCCACTTACACTCACTTAAGTAAAATATGATGGATTTTTACTTCTTTAATACTAACTACCAATTATCTTTTCTGTGTTAAAACTCATTATGTTGTGTTGGTTCAGCACATGGACTGGTTTGCTGTAGCTCATACCTCTCACTTTACAACTTTATTTTTGAACAAAAGAAGCTTAAAAAGTGAAGATTAGTGCCTAACAAACTTCAGGTACTCTGCAGATAGATGCTGGATGTTTTAAAAAAGGTTCTACTACAGTACTATGAGTTAGTATGTTTTTCAGCTGATAGTTTTTACTCCCACCCAGAGGACAGCATTTTATTGTTCGAATGTTGCTCTTTGATGGCTCTGGCTGAGACTGAGGAGAAACAGCATTAGAAAAAAGAGACACAAGATACAAGAGAGATAAAGGGGACATGAGAGTTTAGTTACAGATAAGCATGAACATTATTATCTCGAAAATTTTGAGCACAATTCAAGAGGATGGGCACGTGATATTACTGGAGACGTGATATTACTGGATTCTTTTGCTCCGGAAAAACATCTAAGCAGCAGGGGACAAAAGCTAAGGTCTCTTTTGGCTTTCCATTTGATCCCATTACAGTCTACGAGAAACTACAGAGATATTGAGATGTCTGTTTTTTTGCTTTCCTTTCGGTACACCAGTAGTTTTGCTGGGTTACTTTTACGTCTACTTGAGTCATTACTTCATTAAAGTAACAATACACTTTTACTTGAACATTAGTTTCAGTGACTCTACCCACTTCTCGACAAAGCCACTTAAACCACAGTACTGTCAAAACCAAAGGGAAAGGAACACACGCTGGTTCATTTCCCACCAGCTTCAGCAGCACTACTGTAAGGGGGAGCGAGGCCTCTTTGCTGACTGATGTTTGTTATGAAGTTGGTGTTGTGAGTCTCAGTGCTCCCTGGAAACCAAGTCAACACTTCTATGGTGCTGGAGAGCATTTGCGCCGTGTTTAATCACATGAGCATTACGGCCACTGCGTACTCCTGAAACTGACGTTCTGTTCGTTAAGGCACAATCACACTCACACACACACACACACACACACACAAACTCATCTGTTCTGTGTCTTGATAACACTCTGCAGACATTAAAGATGAGAGAGAATGGTTTTCACAAAAAAACAATTGGATCAAGCATATAATGGCCAAGGTTATCTTTAGTAACACAAAATTTGCAAAGTTAAATCTTATATCCATGTATTTATGTAATGTTAATAATGATAATAATAACGATAATGAATGAGTGGGGCTGAACTGCTGTAGGCTGAACAGGTGGATATATGCAAATATATTGGTTTTCATAACATCACAAAAACCATTCAAAACACCTTTACAACTTTCTTTTCTATTGGCTTTATGGACAGAGGGCTGACTGAAGTTTCAACAACTTACTTTTTGAAAGTAATTATGTTTACACACTTGTTCAAACTCTAATAAAAAAAAAAAAACTTTAATAAAAAATTGAGGTACATTTGGTTTTCCATGATATGGGCCCTTTAAATGTTCAAAATGTACCATTTCTCTAGTCCATAAAGTTAACTTCATTGTTTTGCTGCTTGGTTCTGGAGTGGACGTTATGTTTGTCATAAATGTCCATTTCCACAGAAAATGTTTACTTTTTGTAGCTACATGTGCACCAGCTCTCAATGAATGGTAAGAAGTAGATTAGTAACCAGGTTTCACTAGAGTGACAGGAGTTTATTCCTGGCCATGTTTAGTTCGTGACAATACAGAATCTGTCCGTTCCAGTTAAAGGTGTAGTTTGTTTAAGTATTACTGACATATTTAGAGTTGCAGATGCTATCACTCACAACTTCACCTCCACTTATCTAAAAAAAATCTCTCAACCACAGGCCACTACCTAAATAGCATAATTACCTATTTAGCAACAAACTATGCTGATGTTTGCTTCATATGAAGAAGCTCTTTGCTGAGTCACTACTCTCAACATTTGCCTGATGCCAGCTGCTCAAAGATAATCCAATACTTTGCTTTTGTAATCTTCAGAATTTCCAGTCAGGAAAGCCACTGGTTTCACGTACAAAATTACATACAGCTACAAAATTACAGGCTCGCCATCCAAGCAGAGGCAGAAATGATCCATGGTCTTATCCAATAATTTGTGTTTTGTCAATAGAGGGATGAAATTAGACCAGTTTTTTTTCCAAGTAAACAAATAGTCCTGATAGTCTGATGAGCAACAATCAGAATTCCCAAAATCGTGCAGATGGTGTGTACCACTCTCATAGAGAGGTGAGCATACTAGCAACACAGCTCCCAGAATTCTGACGCATTTTTGCATGCGAGAAACACGTAAAACTACTATTTCTGCAGGTTATATAACACTCATATTGTGTTGTTTACGCAAACATTTCTGGTTTGCATGGCAATGCTCTACCAAATTAATGTTATTAATGTAGTACAATGATTTTATCTACCAATAAACAGGATCTAATTTCTGTAAAGTGATGCATGTAACCTTTAACCTCTCTAATTAGGTGGTAAGGGCTTCACAGAAAATAAGTGATCTCATACATTCTTCAAATGTCTTTAAAAAAGGGCTTGTTTTGGCAGTACTCTTCTAAACATTTAACAGTTTAATAGAGTTTGAGTCCTGCCACAAAATGTGTAATAATTTGAATTCCTTGAGTTATTTAACAAGGGCCTGGCAAAAGATGGAGCAAGAATTTCTGACCTTGTGTGTGATTTTCTGGGCTACTTTCCTGGAGCATCACTGACTAAATATAAAATGTAATCTCATAAGCCTATCAGCGAAAGGCTACCTGCAGACTTCTAGATGCACACATGAGGTTTTGCACAACTTTCGGGGAGCCTCTGGCTTAATACTGTTTGTTCTGTGAACACTCCTACTCACGAAAGGAATTTAGTAGCCACGAGTACACGATACGCCTCCATCTTAGACTCTGATAATGATGATATGCAGGCCAGAACGAGTTTAAAGAGAGCAAAGCCCCCATCAGAAGGAGGGGAATCCCAGCCTCAGGTTCAGCGCACAGGACACTCATTAGCTCGCCTCTGATAAAGCACTAATGGGGCTGGGGCAAGCTCCATTCATTTATGACAGCAGGGATTACAGCGCCGCTCAATCCAACCTAAACACCAGAGCCTGACAAAGGCAATCATGTATTCAACAAATTTCGGTTTTCGTGCAAATCTATTTATTAAGCTACAGGAAGAGGGAGGGATAAAACGGGGGAGCACTCGGCCAAATCGACACAGAGCGTGAGTTCTGCAGACGAGTAAATCACTGTGTTATACAAGCGCTGCCCCCTGTGATTTTTACAGCTGCCCTGTGGGCCAATTCCAGCAGATGTATTAACAGCCTTGCTAATTTAGCACGCGGTGCTCATTTGCACACATGAAAAAAAAAAAGAGAGACAAGGAGGTCAAGACACCCAACACCTAAACATTAATTTTCAGAACAGGACAGTTTCCTCCATTCACACCACACCAGAGCTGAGAACAGCAGAGGCAAAGAAACAGCGCTAACATTATGCTAATCTAGCACATGAGAACTTCAAATCTTGTTTCAAGAATGAACTGCAAACAAACGTCTTCCCACACGTCAAGCCCCATCAGCGCAACACGCCCTTGTCTCTGACCGCCCTCTTCCCGAAAAAGTGGTCACTAAGTTTAAAAATCTGGCAGGCAGTATAGCTCTTTTATGGGGTAGTTTATAATATTTCACTGTTAATTATTCTTATGGACCTGGGGTTGAAATTCTTTCCACAATGAGGGCGTCATGCAGTGTAAATTTGCCTCTCATTTCTCAGATGCTGCTGTCATACCCAGTCCAGCATCGAGCCCACTTCTTCCCTGAAGAAGACCATGCTCCTCAGCCTACTTGAAACTCTTCAAAGAAGAAAGAGCAAGAAACTTCATTGTATGGAAAAGTAGCGTTGGAAGTATGCAATATGCTATTTTTCATTATTATGAAGTTAGAAAGTTCCTTAACAGCCATGTGAGGGGCTGTGTTACAACACCTATCTAACATGCGCAGCAGTATTTAGACTAAGTTATGAGTTAATGAGAGGTTTGGTCTGCATGTCAGGTTCAAAAACCTCGAAAGCTTATTTAGATGTATGCTAGCTCATGAAATGTGATACGAGCAGACCGCATTCACGCAACAGGACCACCTAGGGGGTGGTTGATATAAAGGGAGAAGTGTAAAAACACTATAGTAACAGCTATATTAAGTGCAAATGCATGAAATGTCTGAGTGTTCTCCCAAACCTCTCCTGGACCCTAATGTGATTAGAGTTCTGATGTTTTGCAAGGTCCATTTTATGAGCAAGGCAGAAAATTTCGATGTTCATGAAAACAAGCTGTCCAAACATGATGCCTTTGATTCTGCTGCAAATCATATAAACTCAAAGCAATGCACAGCCAGAGGGATTAATAACTACGGCAGCAGCCTGGCCAGTGAACAGTGAACGTTTTTCACAGAACTCCCCAACATCCTTTTGCTCATGTCCCAGTGTAAATGAGATATCTGACAGCAAGTGACCGTAACAAGTTTTGATTCTGAAAGGCAGGAAAGTTGAGCTGAAGGAGATTAGCATTAAGCCTAAACAGTTTATTCACAACAAGTTTGTACAGCTCGCATGCCGGCTCATTTGATTTCGATCTCTTCTCGAGTGCCTGAACGTCATATTACTGTTAACCTCAGACCTCGGTAAGTGAAAACAACAAACACAAGCCTGTCTTCAGATCAAGTGCCAGCGATGCACAGATTACCGGCCAGCTGTGCTGCTGTTTGTTTACTGTTCATATTCACAGATTTGTTTATGTTTTATTGTGACACAAACATTGTGTCCTTATGCTACATAAACAAACCCAAATTAGCTTAAGGATGCCGCGTCTATGATGCAGCGTGTAAAGATTCGCTTAAAACCTAATAGTCTGGCGAGCTTCTCTGGGAGTGCTTGCACGCCACATTCATGAGCCTGAGCAGATTATGAACAGATATACTCCCTTAATGTTTCCGTGAGCAAATATTTGTTGTTTACCGCTCTTGCTGGCAAGTATGCCCAAGACAGAATTCCTAGCTTCCCTTTCACATTAGCCACTTTTGCATGTTTCCCCTCCCGTGGCTTACCTTTTCCACAGGGGAGCCTCTTCTGCACAGTGCATTTCCGTGTCTCAGTCTCTGGAGCACAGGTAGAGGCAGACGCAGGTCCAGTAACAGTGGCTGGACTCGGGGGCTGAGTGGGATCCTTCCTACGGTTCTGAGTGCCCTTTCTGAAACCACACGTTTTGTTTTTCTTCATGCAAGGGCCCCATGGACTCCATTCCCCCAGCTCACATTGCACTAGAACATGTGAAGAAAGCAAAGATGAACCACGTTCCTCAGAAGAAAAAAAGATTAGGCTGACTCAGTGCATGTCAAGAGTTACTCCAAACAAATGTAGAGGAAAACATATCAGTGAACCCTTAGGAATTCATGACTGAGATTCAGACTGCTAATATCCAGCATCACTCATATTCTCTTATTCCTCCTCACTCAAAGGGAGGGCCTTTGTTATGATTATGTGTGGTGGGCTTCATTTTTATCCAACCTTATGACACACTGTCAAGCTTCAGCCATGACTTCCATGTGGTCTGAGCTGTTTTCAATTGGAGACCAAATTTCAACATTAAATTTTTGTTCTTTCTGTAGTGAAGTTTTGTTCATTTTTTTAAGTAGTGCGTGTGGCAGAGTAGCTAAAAGGAATTTTACACTGCCAAAAACAATCACAGGAAGAAAAATATATGATAAGAAGTGCTGGACTGACCCCTTGTGAAGGTAAGGGAGCATGGGTAATGCCAAAACGTAACCTTGGGAGTTGAGGCGCCTCGCTAAAATAGCCAAGCAGCTTGAGGAAGCCAGGGCAGTCTCTGGGAGTAACGCTATTAGCACTGTGTTTGCTTGCTTATGACAGAACAATTTTCAAAATAAATCAATAAAGCCCTTATCATTGTGCAGGCCTTCCTCCAACGTTCCTTTCACTAGCGATTGAGAAACCCCAGAGAAAAGGGGAGAAGAGGGTGGAAAAAAACTGTATGTATCCCAGCAGGTTTCTTCTTGTACCATTGCTTTGATTGCTTTGCAGTGAAGCAAAGACTGTTTTATGAAATTATGTGGTTTGAATATGCTTTTGAGGAAAGACTGGAGAATCTCATGTGCATTTCAATCTCTGTACTTTCATAACATCCATATCTGTCTTTCCCATGTTTGGAAATAGAATCTCGTCTCTTGAATAAGCACCAAGCTTGCATACCACCTCAAAGAGCTCATATGAAAGCTCTTACTTACATATACATGTTGTAAATACTGTGAGTACAATAAACTGATAATGTCCTGATAATGTCCTAAAGTGATACTGTTATCACAAAACTTCAATATAACTGCAGTGGAGACAATCATTATCATGGATGATGATCACAAAATTTTAGAGATCTAACAATACAATGTGTGGTATTGTATTATACTGTATCATATGGGTGGTGCTCTGCAGAACATTTTCCGCAGTTTCTTCAATCTGATTCATTATTTGTTGAAAGCTCGATTTTAATATGTATTCTTTAACATGTAGATAAGGTGAAATCCTAGCCTGTTAGCATCTGTGTTTTCTTACACTTCTAACAAAAAAGAAAAAGAAGAAAGAAAATCAAGTTATCATTCAAATAAATCCATGTGCAAGAAAAAGCAGCTACATGTTGCTGTTCCCACATCAGCTGATACGCCTCACACCCTCACAGTGTGGTAGAAAACAACACAAATACTGCCAGATATTTGAACAATCTCACTCACGTTAACACAGATAATGTTCATAAAGAAGCTGAAATAACTGATGTCAGTAGTTACACCAAAGTGTAATTTTTCAACTGGTTATGGTTGTTTGCACTACCACACACACTTTTGTATACTGCTTGTCCCTATATAAACTGTATGTTGCTTATATAATGTGTATTGTCTGTAAATAATTAGACATTATCTGTATATTACTTGTCTTTATATAGTCTGCATATTGCTTGTATACTGTGTACATTGTATATTGTGTATTGTCTGTATATTGCACATAATACTAGAGAGACACAAACTGCCTAAACCAAATTCCTTGTATTCCTTGTACTTTGGCCACTGATTCTGATTAAGATCATGAAACTGAAAGAGTAATTTAAGTGATGAGTGCAGTGCCTGGGCTTTCTGCATCAAGCTAACCAACGGGTGTTGATGAGATTATTTATTTATTTATTTGTTTGTTTTATTTAAACTTTATAAACTATACCAAATTATATATATGTATATATATATATATATATATATATATAGTGTGTGTGTGTGTGTGTGTGTGTGTGTGTGTGTGTGACTGATTAAATGAGATAAAATCTTTTAATTGTGCCCTAATGAAACAGAACATTGATGGAATTAATTTGAATCTTTAAATGTGATGTTATCAGTTTTGGATTTGCAGAACTGATAAATTCTTGGTTTCTAAAACTTTTTTTTTTTTATTTTGATAGAGATATCTTAAAACTTCAACAAAATGTTTGTGAGGGATCATTTTGTAAGAAACCATAAAAAACTCACAAATTTACATTTTACCATGTGAAGGGTTTCTGCAGACCTCAACAAATAACTGGCATGTTACATTGTGTCTTGTGTCCAGTAGCTTGGGGCTAATTTATGAGCTGGTACCTACAGCATTAGATTGGGACACTATAAAGCATGGCTGCTGTTTCATAAATTGGTATTTTTATAATGTTGAATGCTCTAATAAACTAAAAATGGAAAGACATTATATACACATATAACATATTAATGAATTAATAATGAAAGAGTTTTTATTTCAATTAATTTTGGAGCATTTTTACTGTGTGTGTCATCATTTATATTTACGGGGTCACTCACCTACACACTCCATGGTGCTATTGACAGTGGTTAAGCCTTCAGGGCAGCTGTGGTAACACCGTCCACTGTATGAATACAGACCCTCTTTACATTTTGCGCAAAATGTTCGACTGAAGCAATCTGCACAGTTTTCTATTTTGCATTCTGAAAGAAAAACAAAGACACAAAATGTGGTCGAGTAATGACAGTAATAATGGGAACCTGTCTAGCCGCTTTCATGTCCTTTTAGCCTATAACTAATTGTTGTCAGTGAAGTTATACTTAATAGCTATCAATTTTCTATGATTTGAGTGAAATGTATACATAATGGATATTGTTGACTTTGCCTGCAGGAAGCTATGATAATTCATGAACATGTTTAGGTGAAATATGCAGGCTGAATAACTGCTGTTAGGAGATTTATTGGTGGAGGAGGGAAAAACAATCATTGAGAGAGACGATATATGCAGGCATTAAGCTATACCATAAATAACACCCAAAACCTTTTAAAAGCATATTCCCCCCACCCTTAAAAAAAACAGCAGGGGTGAGCAAGTCCAGTCCAAGAGTCTCGCACGTCAGAGCTGCTTGTACCTCTGTCTCATTACAAGCCCAGCTTCTTCAGTCAAACAACAAAACTGCTTTAAATTGGGGGCAATTATGAACACTGCAGGAATGAAAAACAGATACCTACCAACAAGACTACCAGAATACGCTTCCCCGCCCAATTCCCATCACTATTATCTAATTACAAGAGAGCCAATGTTTCATTCATTCCTTTGCACTTAGAACCATGTCACGTAATGGTGTCACGTAGAGGTTCATACATGAATCCAACAATCTGGGCGATCTGAACGTGTTTATCTGTTAATGGCGTCTATGTGATATCAATTTAACATCAGGCGAGATTTTAAAAAATTGTTCCAGTGAGATGATCACACTAAATGGTCAAGAGATATGAAAAATTCTAGATTACAGCATGGGAACCTGTCAGAAAAGCATTTTGAGTAGACACCTTTGGGGCAGTTACACACGCATATCTACTCCACTGGGCTTGGGCCAAAGACAGGAGAGGGCTTAGGAGTTCTCTGCTGTAACCTCTGCTCTCAATTACTACTTTAAAATGCTTGACAACTAAATTTGACATCTGTGATGTTTGGAGAGAATACTTTTTCACTCAAGCATTCACAAATGTACCCTTAATGTAAGACAAATGTTGCTAACAAGACATCTTGGGGATTTGGAGATGAATCAAATACAAGCAGCTGATTGAATAATTACAGCGGCTGAGCCACTGAGGAGTTTGAGCAGCAAGGTTGAAATGAAGGGCTAACATGCACTGTAGCCTTGCCATAACCCAATACAACACACAATATGACAGCAAAGTAAGCATTCTTGAGCAAATTTAAAAAAAAAACTTTGAAAATCTTTAGTGTATGCTATTGCACATGCATGCTTTCATTTTTCTCTTTTTCTAATTCATTCTATATTAACAAACTATCACAAGACAAGAAGTTTATATTTAAGTCAAATATTCTACACTAAGTCCACTGCAACAGCTTGGGCAGTTATAGTAATATTTATGTGGAGTCCACACCTGTGGACCATATCTTATTGCTGATAAGAAGAAGCAATTGTGTCATCAAATAGGTCTCTATATGTACACAGGATTATTAGAGAGAGTGACTATCAACAGCGTGAAATTGCTTTAAAGAGAGACCATGACTTTGGCTGTGAAATGCAAACACCACAGGGCAATATCCTTCACTGTCATGTCTGAATTGAGATTACCTTTAATGACCATTTAGAAAAGAACTGCATCACACCAACATCTGAGAGACATTAAGTAACGTGATGCAAGAGTGTATCTCACAAAACAAAAGACAGCATTTTCTTCCTGTAACAAAATATAATGAGTCCAAGCTGCAGCACATACTAATTGGCTATCAAAATTTGCCTCCACCTCGAAAAGAAGACGTTCATTCAATTTTCAACAAGAAACATACACTTGGCATAAAAATGCTAAAATTTGCCCATTAATCTGCCTCCATAGAGATACCACCAATCAGTTTATAAGAGACACTATGCAGTCGTTTATCAATGATTTTCCTTGACATTTCTTCAATCATAGTAAAATGTTGCCATATGGTAGTACTGCAGGCTTTAGTGTATTCAAATTCAATAAATGTAGTATGAAATACTACAATGAGAAAGAAGATAAAAGGGAAATCCCATAAAAAAATGCAGATAGATGTAAGTGCTTGAGTAGAAAAAGGTGGTCAAGCTCTGAACTAACATGAACTCTGCATTTCCAGGCCAAAGTAATAATGTAGACTTCCTTACAGAAACAGACAAACAGTGTATTACCAATGTTTTGCTTTGGATTTTTTCCCTGAATCCTGTTTTTCACCCACAAAGTAAGAGAAAACAGATCGCTGGCTCGGCTGTGCTGGGTAAGACGCGCTGGTTTAATGCCACTGGTGGAGTTCCTCAGTAAATTGCACGTAATGAATGATTCTCTACTTTCATATGAGTTTTCCTTCAGCAAGAGACACACATCATTAAATTGTTTTGTGCACATCATCCAAGAAAACCCAGTTGTACTTTTGTATATTGTTAAAAAGGCCAAGCAATTGTAACATTTTGTAAAAAAAAAAAAATTAAGAAATTAAGAAATCAGTTATCAGTTAGTTTCAGTAAGTCCAGTAGTTCAATTCGTCAATCAAATAGGAAAAATCAAATAAATTTTAATATATACAACAGCACAAATGGCAAACCTTATGGACCTTAGCAGACTTTTCAGCTCTTTTGAGTCGCAATTCAACTCTTGCTACTTTAGCAGTTAAACTCAGTTTACAAGTTGAGGTCATTTAGTTCTAAAAAGTTCTTTTAAGCCTGTAAACATGCTCTTTTTTTATCAGAACCAACAACAATACTCACGTGTGCACCTGTTCACATCACGATTTCGAATTCCATAATATCCTACTGGACAAGTGGCCAGGCACACCCCTGTCTGACGAATGTCACTCCGTTCCAGGAGGATAAAAAGGCGCGGTCTGCATTTTGTACATCCGTTATATTCAGAGCAGCTTTCGCAACCACTGGAGCATGATGGCGGTACTTCAGTACTTGCTGTCGGGATACAGAGAGGAAAAGAACAAAGAAGCAGAAGATAAAATATCATAATTAAAGTGTGCACACATAGTTCTAAAGGCATCAGAAATAATTCTTGAAAAAATAGGACTCTTTCCATTACATTTCACAATTTGGAACTGGACTCATTACAACACATTACAAACTGTACAGGTGAACATGGACTGACAGCTACATCAGTAATAAGATAAACATTCCATTTTAGTCCATACAGCCTGTCAGGTACTCTATCAGTCCATTAAACAACACATTTATGGAAAAGTGACAACTGACACTATTGTATAACCTTACACGAGTGTTCAGATTTGTCCTTTCTGCATGACTGCTTGCAATTTCACTATTATTATGATCCAAAAAATGCTAGTGTCTGTAGCCAATAGCAGAAATAAAGGATTGCACAAAGTGCACATCCTGTTTCTGGGGCCAATCACCGTCAAAAACACGGTCATCTGCGCAGATTTATGGGTCTTCGCAGTATCATCTCTAAATATACACACTTTCAAGGCAATTCATCTGCCCAGCCTGTCTCACAGAGATAAAGCGGATGGTAAAAGTGTTAAAAATACACCTCTGTGAATCAGCTGCACCCAGGGCGAGTCATGGCAACAACGCATGGGGATGCATGCAAGTATCTGTGTAAGTCTTGTTCTTATCACTGCTATTAATGATAAACAAATCATTATCCTGTAATATTTAACTGGCAGCAAAGGTGGCGAGATGTGCTCAAGTATCATATACCATTCTGACTATGCTAATAGAGTTTATCAGTTTGATTCTAACAGCCCCCTGGAATGCACTCCCAGTTGTGCTTATCCTTTTCCTTATCTAACAGTATATGAGGCAGAGGCAATGAGAACATGACAGATTTGCATTGGGCATATGGCAAGGAAACCACGCACACATGAAGAAATTGTGCTGACACAAAAGACCCTGAAGGTCCAGGAGGACATCTGTGTAAAACATTCTCATTTTTCCTCTGTGTGTTGTGTAGATTCATTATATAAATCATACACATCAATTAAAGACCGCCGCCAGACATGAAAGCACTCGGCCAGTTATCAACAAAACATACATTACGAGAGCTGTATTGTTCCGCCCGTGTAACTTGGTACAGAACTCCGCTTCAAGGCCTCAAGGTGTTTGAATCAGAATGAGTTTGACCAGTGACTCTAAACATAAACACATCTTCAGGACCATTTACACTTCTGGTGCAGAGCCTCATCAAATGCAGAGGCATTCTTCATCTGATCACTACATTCCTTCTCCTCCCTCGGAGCTGGGAGAATTGAAAAAGCCCCTCTGTAGAAACAATAAATATGAAAGTAACATGATAGATGGTTGGGGCAAATCACTGTTTTGGTTGAGTTTATGGAACAGTGGTTAGACCAATGCAATGCACAACAGGGGCACAACTGTCCATAGTCACCAAAAAAAGCAGCAGCAACCTCTGTGGTGGAGGCAGGATTTCACGACATCGTTCAAGCGGTCTGGGGAGAATGTGATAAGACCATAAGTTGAGTGGTCTTCATGCCCAGCTTGTAGAGATCATCTACAGAGTTAAGCTACATTAATATGAAGCATAAATCTGCCCTCAACTCTCTGCTCTTGCTCAAGCATCCTGGAGGTAATAAACGAGCGGAGGATAAATGAACTGCAGTCTGTTTTCCTAAAATGAAAACAGTAATCTTGCTCAGCTTAGCTGGACATCACAACCGAGACATTTTTGGCCCAAAAGTCAGTTCTGGCCAAGAAAGCACACAGAACTCTGATTTTCCAGGAATTCGGGAATAGTGTGGATAGCTGGTTGAATTAGTGCAAGTTTGATGACATCTAGGGCATAGTGACAAAACCCTAGAAAGGGTGAGGACAGGACATTTAGCGTCATAAATTCAAGTATATTAAGTAAACACAACAATTATTACCATTGTCTCTTAGCATCGTTTTTGCAAGGCGGCAACAGTTACATAATCAGATTTCTGAAAAACAGGGATGTCATATGAGATATGGGAATATGTGTAATTAACCCTAGGCATGCATTGCATTTACGCTTATTATAATTTAAGACCCCATAGCCAGAGAATGGAGGGGTTAGCTAATAAGCACACAAAACCATGTGTCTCATCTCATCCATCGCTACCATGAGTGAGGTAGATAACTTGATCACTCATTTCCTGGATCACAGATTGCATCAGGCATTGTGCCATAATACTGGGTGCAGAGGAATCTAACTGTTTTAAAGCAATCTGTACTATAAACACAACTAAACACTCAGGCAAAATGAAATGTAGATGTTTTTGTTGCATTGATTTAGGCATTTTCAGATTGCCAACAAGCACTAAAATTTGACAGTAGCTCAGCTTGTTGTGAAATAGCGTCTGTCGGAACCATGTTCGCCAGTAAAACTGATGAAACAATTTTAAAAATAATGTCTTCATGGATTTGAGGCAGACTTATTGGTCAACTGTGTTAAGATTTAAAGATCCTCCTGAGAGATCCTGGTTTATGATTTATTTCATATTGTAAAATGCTCTGATGCAGGAGATCATTATCCCACCATTTCTTTTGATTTTTTTAAAACTCTGTGGTAATGTTAAAAAGCCATGACGAGTCATTTACTAATTAACCAGCCACAAATGCTGCGAACACATTTGTACAGCTGTCGCACTGCAAGAATATGCTTTGCAAAGCCTCTAATGTTTAATTAGCTACAGTACCTCTCTAGAGGGAGCTCTTTTTATACTCTGCAAATTGCAGATTAACCCTTACGTTCAAGTACCATGTGAAAGAATGCATGCAAAGAAAAAAACACTAACCGCAATATCATCAATAGCTGATTTTTTATAGAAGTTGAGAAAATTTTCATTTCATTTTCAGGAATTTGCTTGAACCAGTGCTCAAAGCTGTCTGGAATTATTATAAGTGTAAACTGTAACAGTTCTAACATACCTGAAATATATATGACTTCACAAAGGTAATATATATATCACCTCACAAAGTTGTGAAAAGCGTCTATCTAATCTTAAGAAATCATTAAATCTTTAAGTGTACTGACTTCAAAACAATGCATGCCATAAATAACTATAAAAAGCATAGCATAAACTAAAAGAAGCAAAGCACTTAAAGTAAGGAGGAAAAATAGCCATTCAAAGGAAACTCAAGAGCCATTATGATCTGCACTGGTAAAGCAAACAATAGGGATAAAAATAAACAAAGTAATTTTTACTGCTGCAGTTAAATGTTTATAACAAATGCGCCACTGTGTTTCGAGTGGCTGTGAACCACAAGCAAAAACTCTGTGAAGAGAGACAGAAGGACAGACGGACAGTAAATGCTAGTAAGACAGATGTGATGACTCACTGCGTCTGTGCCTCCTTCCTCGGGAGACTTTAAGGCTGTCGTTGTAACCCATGGAGCTGAGGAAGACCACCACCAGCGCCACCAGTCCCAGCTGCATAGTCTCTGCTGCCCAGCTGCGCTGGGTCTCCCCCTGCAGGCAGATGGATGCGGCGGGGGTGCGCCCCCTTCCACGCTGTGGCAGGTGGAGCGGTCTACTGACAGCTGTGGCCGCCGCTGCCTTTAGCTGCAGCTGCAAGTCCAAGCATGCCCAGGGCACGAGCCATATGAGGATGAGGAGGATGATGGAAGTGGTTCAGGTGCAGGGAGATGTGCTGAGATGAAAGTGAGAGCTGAAGGAGCGCACGGCCCTTTTCAACCCATGAAGCCGGGCAGTCCTGGAAGCAGCGCGTAGCCCGTAACGGCAGCGGCCAGGAGAGGCTGGTGTGAGTGAGCGCCCCAGCCCAGGAGCATGTGTCTTATTAGGGATGCTGGGAGGAGGAGGGGGGAGTGCAAAAAAAAGAGAAAAAAAAAATAAAAGATGGAGAGAGGTTCTGGAATCCTACGCGTGACAACGCATCCGTCAGTGCCAAGACCTGCTGGGGAGAGAGAAAGAGATGGGAAGAGAGTTGGAGGTGGACGAGAGTGGGTGGAGAGGGGTAGAAAAACACAATGAGACAAGAGCTTTAAAAAGTGCTCTGTTAAGTCAGCATGTCAAAAGAAAATCCAAATATCCTGGCCAGAGGGATATAGACCATTTTTATTTCTCCACTAAATTATCCTCTATAAAATGAAATTCTTTGACTAGACCTTTGACCTGAGTCATAAGCAAATACAAGGTATAATACCACAAAAAAACATTTTAATTAATGCTTACATTACAGCGTTCTCGCATCGTAATCCTTTTATATCTTTCAGAATCATTTCTCACCACATTTCAGCACGTATGATAACAGTATTAGCTGAACTGATTTGTAAGCCGTGTCTCAAAACAGTAAACCAGCACAAAAATGTCTGACTAAAGAAACCTTATACTAAAATTTTCCCCATGAAAACCAGAAATTCCTGCCTTATTAAATCATATGCCCGATACAGTATATCCATGTGGCTAAAAAAGTACACGATACACGTTAAAGTAAATTCCCGCTGAACTAGAAGCGACTGCTGTGTTTTGGCATCAAAGCTGAGGCCGATTCTACCAAATCATTAGCAGTCATGGCACAATGAAACAAATGCCACAAATAGTTTTTGGTCACTGCACTTCAAGTTGCCTTGTCGAGAAGGGTGATGAATGAAAAAACATGTTTACTCCATTTCTCTGAAAACAATGAGGACACAGAAGCATGCCTTTTTTGCTCTGAAATCACAGCACGAGAGTCAGACACTAAATTACCCCAACTGTCACGTCTCTTTATGAAAGAGAAATAGATTAGAGAAGCTGATCCTAAAATGCTGATTCTCACATTCCAGCAGAAATGGATGGCCAGTCTGCAAGTACGCAAGAGAGACTTCATGCCTGGAAGTATCTAGGAAAGCAGAGCCATATTAGGCCACAGTTCCTCTGGATGTTGCGTCGTTTTGTAAGTGAAGAAGGCATGCGATGATTCTTTGCATACCAAAATGCACTGAATGCTGACAGCATTGCAAACAATTAAACTTCATTCAGCATGATTCAGTCGCTCCATTTATATATCACCAGCTGTTACAATGATAAGATCACAATTTTCGAATGGATGAGGTTATAACAGAGGAGCGTTATTTAACCCGCTGTTCAATGATGATGAAAAATGTACAGAGAAAGGCCAGACATACTAGGACAAAGCGTGACTTTCATTTTGCGCAGTCTACAGACTGACAGAAAAGTAATCTGGATTGATCTTGACATCAGCCAGACAGCCATCCTCAAGCAACACATGAAAATACATGTCACAGTTTATTTGGGGGAAAAAAAGCACCCTTGGGGAAATAAGTCAAGCCATTGTGAAACATTGTGAAGCAGGACAGTGCCTAATTACAGTGCGTGACATCATCTGCAAAAGGAACACATATCAGAGTCACAGTCCTTCTCCCAAATAAAACCCTGTTGAATGGGACAGTTGGCCATATCTTACGCACAATGTCCACCACACTCTGACAAAACTGAAGACTTTAGATGCACACTGTGCAATGTGAGATATGCAAAAATCATCAGCTCACTGCCCCAGACCACATCGTTAAAGCACCATAACTCACTCCATCCCACACGCTGCCGTGTTTGCAGGTGTTTTGATTAATTACTTTGGAGGAGTCACGTGGAACGGCACAGCGGTAGTAAGCTGAAATGTCAAGTTACTTCCTAAAACGTATCAAGTGGCATTGCGCTTAACAAAATCCAGAAAGCCCTTGTCTAAAGCCAACATTGTGGCCAAGGAACTGATTGTTAACACACACCAAGACATGGACCAAAAAACACACAGACTCAAAAACAGACACACACGGAGGAACATACAAAAATTGCTGGATTCCCTCCATCTCCCACACGGACCACTAGATGTATGAGCAAGAGCTCTAACGAACAGGCCACATCTTCACATCATCTCCTCAGCACTACCTTCATTCTGCTTAGCCCCAAAGGACATCTCCTCTACTCCCAAAGTTTATTTGTCTTTGACACTGAATAATAGACAAATGTCTTCAACACCTTCCTCATATTTATTAGCCTGAGCCAAAAACTCCCAGCGCCTGCTGTCCGAGGCCCAAGTAGAAGATATTAATTGGGAGTGATGTGTCATGCCTGACGCAGTCATATGCCATTGTGTAAGACAGTTTCCAGTCACATAAGAGCAGAAACTCCTCTCTTGGTCTTGCAAAAAATACATTTAAAAAATTGGGTGCAACTAAACAAAGGGGTTACAAATAATCTTTCACTTTTACATTACAGAGAGACTTTCTTTATCTGTAATCTATACTTGAAGATGTCATACTATATAGGCCTTTTGCTGTCCTAATAAGGCAGCCTCCGTAAGGGTTTGCAAGGCATCTTCTGTTCATGAGTGATCGACTCATTGAGGGGCACTTAGACACTTCAACTTCACTCTGAGCTCTATCTTTGCCTCCTCATCCATTACGTTCTTCCCCACTGCCTCCTTTCAGCCCAACAACAAACTGAAACTAGCAACTGAAACCCTTCATCAAACACTCAGGAGATTAAATTGCCAGCTTTGTAAGTCCTTTTGATTTATTAATTATTTAAGCAGCAATGAAAGAGAGCTGCCACCAAGGGAGAACGCTCAAGAGGGCACACAAATAACCCGCGATAAAAACGTGCCTTTAAAAAGCCAGCCGACATGTAGCATACCTGCCACAGCCAGCAGATCCAGCTATGTCCTCTTTTCCCCTTAGCACATAAAGCTTTTTTCCATTCCAGATCAAAAAGTCTACAGCCCTGCATAATCCACCAGGCACTAGATTTAGCAGCAAGTTAAAGCAGAACCATGAAAAGACCAGAGCAATAAACAGGCTATAAACACAGTGAGTAATAAAGCACTGAACAAAGCAAAGGAGATGTCTGGTCTGTTCTATGCCCAATAAGTAAGACGACTTAAAAGCCATACATTAAAGAATGCTAAGCAAAACAAGGGCAATTGATAAGCCTTTTCTGGCTCTTTCAGAGACGCCGTTAAAAAAACTGGCTGCAGTTTTAATGGTTGTTTCAGTACAGTGATGTTTCGGCTGTGTCTTTAACAAGATTAAATGAATATATGTTTGAAATATAAATTCAGTAGTGCATGGTGTTTATGGACATAGAGGCAAAATGAGTTTAATCTCTCCAAATCCATAAAAACTCCACGCATTAAGGAGCTGGCACTGTAATGTACAATAAGAGCAAACTGCAGAGAGTAAAAGTAACCTTTAAAATCATATGCAGCTTGTATCATAAGGATATAAGCCCACATAAAATTCTACTTGTAACATCTGCACAGACGCACACCTGGCACAACTACAGACCGCAGCAGGAGCCACAGTCATTTAGGTGCTCAGCTCCTGCACTATACGTTAAAAGCGCTGTGAATGCATAACAGATGTGGGTCTACCCTGAACTTCCTTCTTCTGCCCTCTTAAATCATACTCTCTCATCATTCTGTGCAACACAGTGAGCTTATCACCATGCGGCTTCCTTCACAGTACACTCATCTTGCCAGCTTTTGCAGCAGATTATGAACATGCCACACTGCCACTCTTCACACAATATTGCCACTGTCAGAACAAAACCTAACTTTACTATAGTAGTAAAAAAAATTCCTAACTTTTAATATATGTGAAAGTAACAATGATTTATTCCAAGCAATTTTGGAACATTTCTATTGGTCTGTTTCTGAAAAAACATCACATAATGTACGGGGCAGCTGGCATTTTAAAACAATGTAAACAATTAACAATTTAAAGAAACAACAAAAATGGGGATACAAGGTGTCGTTCACTGTCAAGCATCTTCGGAAACAGAACTAGCACATTCATATTTCATGAAATATATGCCTGAGATCCAGTAACTTTACAAAGATTTGAGCATTAGATTTCTACCAAAGTATCGCTAGATCTCAACAGAACTGTTATTGTGTGATCTGATAGTCCACTTCTTGAACACTCCTAACAGATTCAAAACTCATTCAAGTTGTATCAAGTTGTATCAAACATTGGCACAAATATTTAAAAAAAACTTTGACTGTAATTATTGCTTCATTTGTTTTTTCTTATAAAGTTTATTTAGACTCAGCCTCCTTCACATAGCTTATATCTATGTGTAGTCTGGAAAATGACTGCGTATGTGGAACAGTCAGTCTACAAAGGTTTCTGCTTCATTCATTCTAGTGCTCTGGTTCCTCTCAGTGCAAGTGAACAGTGGAAGGTTCCTGAACTTTGCTACTGCTATTATACCAGCTAATGCAGCATGTACACGGTCATGAGGGAAATTCAAGTGCATTCTTACTCAAACGCTCTTAGATGCCCTGAATCTAAATGATCCTCCTTCCAAGACCAGTGACACTATCCCCCAGGATGTAAAAGATTTAAAATATCATGAACTGGCCATAAATAAATTTAGAAATAAAGTGTCTGAAATAGTAAATAGTAGAATGGCTATCAGCACAGCTATCTCTCTCACTGGCAGACAGCAGAGCTCCACAGCAGATGGAACAGCGACTGCTGAGGTCAGGGAAGAGAGAGGGAACAAGCTGAATCCTATAACTCTGTCCTCTATTCCAGAGCTTGTTTTATCAACTAGGAGATCAGCGCAAGTGCATAAAGCCAGAATAAATCCTCAGTTCCCCAGTATCCTTTCCCTTAAATGTGCATGGTCTTAAAAACCCATAACTTGCTATAGAGAATAAAGAGCAAGTCCTAAAACAAACAGCATGTTTAATAGACTCAGATGGAGGCATTTAAGGAGGGGTCATATTTCAACCTGACACAGACCTCCAAAACAGGCAAAATACACACATCAATATCCCTAATAACATCAGTCTGATTTAGGCTATTATTTCTCTACATTTAGATTTTGCAAACTAAGAATGTATTGTGAATACATCAATAATAATAATAATAATAATAATAATAATAATAATAATAATAATAATAATAAATGAGATTCTAAATAAGACAAATTAAATGTTTAATATAAAATACATTTATATAATTTATATTTAAAGCCCACTGTGGTTAAAAATATAAATCAGATCTGAAAAATCAAAAAATAACAAATTCATAAACACATAAAGTTCATTTACAGGTATACCAGTAGGGTAGATTAGTAGATCTTGAGCTACAATACATTATTTAAAAGAACTTGTAACTACGCATGGTCAATGTAGTTAGAGCATCTCTCAGAAGCCAAATGTTTTATTGATTAATTTGGAATGTATCCATACAAAGGGAAACACACATTCAACCTACCTCTTCTGCGCTGTCAGACTCATTTTGTCCCAGAGCAGTGCAGTGCAGACTGTGTGGATCTCCTGGAAGGAATCAGGCACCCCGGGGAGTGTGTCTCTATGGGCTCTAACTGAGGCTCTGGGTCTCTAGGGACACACACTTCGCATCAGTGCTCTCTGACTCTTTTCTGTCCCCAAAAATGTGATGTCAGATAGAAATCCCCGGGAACACTGATGCAAGTCGTGCCAAAAAACTGCCAGCCAACAGTGAAGAATGACAAGCTGTGAAGATGAAAATGTGTGACAATGTCCTAGATCCATTCAGCTGCGTCTCCAGCGGAGCCCCTCACAGGCCTCGCTCACTGCGCGCCTCTCTGTAGTCATTCTACAGCAAGTTGCACATAAATCCACTTTTAAAGCCCGGACAGCATCCAGCTCGCGCCGAGAGCTTCAGTCTCAGGAAGTTTGCATCCAACTCCATCCAGTGCCGTTTCAGGGCGCGCAGGGCCTGAGCTGGCCCCGCCCCTAACACCGTCTCACACACACGCGCACACACGAACAACACGAACACACACATGCACACAGGAGAGAGAGAAAACCTGTGGTGGACTCTTTTCCTGGACTGCTGTGCTCCGCGAGGAGACTGGAACTGTAACAATCTTTTTTGGTGTTCCTTCTACAAAAACAGACCACCTGAATCTCTCCAGATGCCTTCTGTCTGGAGCTACAGGCAAGTAAACAGGCGGGTGGTCCACCTCAGACTCTTAGTCCTGTAGAATTATTTCGTCTCATCACCAAGTTTTGAATGCAAATTTGGTCTGATATGGATGTGAGCTAAATGGTTCTTCAGGGGTTCTTTACAGAACCATAGGCACTTAAAAATGGTTCTTTGCGTGGTTTCGTACCTATGAAGGAATACCTGCTGTACATGGTTATTTAAAGAACCTTTTTCAAATGGCTCTAAATAGCACTAAAAGGGTCCCGCTGTTATTACAAGTCATAAAACCTTTTTTAGGTGTCCGTCTGTGTAAACTGAAAGCAGCTCGGGTGAAAACAGAGTGACAGAGCTCAATTTCTCTCACATTCACTAATAAATAAGCCACACAGGCGCTCATACACAGTGTATATAAATATCAGAGAACGTTGAAATCGTCTACTGACCTGATGATGCTGAAGGGGCTGCGGAAGGGGGGCGTGGCCCGGAATACTTTTAAAAGTGGGCCAAAGTACGTCCCTTACACTGCTAGCATATGTCTGCATAACATTCAGGCCTGTATGTGTTCTTGTGTTCAGCCCGTTATGTTAACATGACATTTGAGACGCTTGACGTAACTTCCGGACCTGCTGGGTTCATCTGTCCTGTAACACAAACGGTGTGATAAAATGTACTTCACCTCCTCGTTGCACAGACGTGGACAGTGAATTGATTGGTTGGTTTAATTTCTCGTGCACTCAAATAAGCGAGGGTTAGTTGGTGGTGAGGAGCGGGTAGAGAACAACACCTGGCAACAGTTTACAAGCTTGATATTGTAACAATAGCAGAACCCTTTTTGGTGCTATGTAGAACCATTTCAACACATTCTCCATCGATCTGAAGAACCATTTCACCAGGCAAAGAACCACCATAGAATTGTTCTATATAGAACCCATGGTTCTAAACACAACCATTGCCTTTACTAAAGAACCACTTTTTTTTAATTGTGTAGTATATATGTTTTCTTCTTGTGTGGGTAGACTTTACCACCACTACTAATGTAGCTGTTTACTCATTAATGTTCACATGTGGATTTTTACATTTTATCTGATCCACATGTTCTCTGTGCTTGTCTGAGCACAACTCTTAAGATTTTTTTTCCAAATCAAGACTATCAACGGTTAATATTACTTATCATATTGGATTCAATTTTTTGGTCTCATGATGACTGACTTAAAATAAAAGAAAAGAAAAAAAAAAATAAAAAAGCATTAAAACCGTATGTAATAAAAAATAAATGAGTGCTGTTACATCTTTATTGGTTTGTAACATTATGCAGTAGAGAGTGAGTGAGAGGAATTATAAAATACACATACAAAATTATATTTTTCATGATTTTTCTTTTTGAAAATGTAATATTAAAACCATATGGCAGCAGCATGAGACAATGGAACTGCAATCTGGAATGTAGACAATAGGAGTAAATAAATACACTGACACAGGACACAGCTACATTTATCATCCAGGCATGAACATGTGCATAACAGCCAAATATGCATAAATGTTTTAATAATACAGAAAGGAATATGGAAATAATTATATTGATAAAATCATCAACTTCTGGCCTTTTAAGGAGGAGTTACTGTAGTTGTATGATCGTGAAAACTCACATCAATATCTGTGACAGAGTATTCCAGTGACATTACTGTGTACATGAGGCCTTAGCCAAATTGGCAGTCCTTAAAGGGGTTGGGGTGGGGTGCTGGGGGTGGCTCTGAAGCTTTGATAGGGTTCCATGACGTAAAAGTTAAATGGCACTAAATTGCACCTCATACCTGGAGGTTCAGCTTTATCTCTTGTCTCGTCTAGCTAGCTTGAAAACAAACCAGGGAGTTTGATGGGCAACAGTTGTGCGTTTCGGCTATGTGTGAGTGATGGCAGTCAAGATAAGAAATAGAGCAAGATTGCATTGCCATAATTGGGTTTTTAGTTGGTTGTCACTCGTTCCCCTTATATTAGGAGGCTTGAAGTTATTACCTAGATTTGTACCGTGTCAGGAAAAAAAATCTGCGTTTGTGAGCTTGCCACTTCAAAGAATCCATGTTTATAGCCAAATGCATTTCCTCTTTCCTTACAAGATGTGGAGAAATCTTAGCACCATTTCAGTGTGTACAGGGATGAGGGTGCGTGCCACTGGCTAATAAGGAGCAGCAGAGTTTTCCTAACGAGTTCTGGCTCAGCAATCAGTCTTAAAGAGATGGGGTTGTTTCCAGCACAACTGGAGTCATATAAACCACCCTCAACATGACGAGTCATAGTAAACATGTTTCTTAACCCAATTATGCTGCCTCCATGCTGTTATTCATGGAAGCATTCATAGTAGAAGTAGCAGTAGTAAGAGTAAGCCTATTCATTATTTTTTTGCACACTTTTTAATTTATTTGTATTAATAGAGCTGAACCTGTTTTGTTGTTGTAATTTTGTTTTTTTCCAGGTTTATAAATAACACAGCAAAATCCCAAGTGTTGCGTTAATTCTTAGAGCATTCATTTGTGTCCAGCTGGCCTTTAAAGGACACTCAGGGTTTCGATTCATCTCTGTCGATGTTGCTGTACACGACACGCTGATGAGATCTTTGCCATAATGACTTCATTTGTTTAAGAATGTGCTCCAAACAGAGAAGTGAAACGTCTGTTCAATTGAAAAACTTTCATAGAACTCTATTAAAGCAGAGCTGGTCATTTAAGAAATTATTCCCCTATTGTCTTTTAAATATTGAGAGTTTGTAAAGGTCTTACACTTAAATTGTAAACCCTGCAAAACCTCTGCTCTTAATATGTGACATACTCAATGCAGTTTTACCCAAATGTTTACATGAAACATTGATGTTTTTTGCAAAATATTCACTGTTCGTTTCTAAAGACATCTTTGCCAATTATGTGGCAATATTTGCAGAAGAAGAGAAAGAATCCCATTTGCCCTCATATCGTATTTGCCATAGTAATTATTGGAAGAGCCAAATTTGCAGTGTCAATGTCAAGAATACTGCATTTTGAATTATAATAATACAGTTAATGTTGATATGGGTACAATTAATTAATGTACCTTTAAATGGGCAACTGTATACATACCTGCCCTCTTGTGGACACTTGCAATTACACGGTATAGTCAATTTGTAAACTACTGAAACACAAAACAATGTGCTCCCATACAGTAGGCTATTCACATTCTCCAGAGCAAACAGTGGAAGCTAAAATGATACAAAGTACCTGGAGAAACTGTCAGAGACCAGAGCCATTCCATAGCTTAGGTTATATTATTGCTTCTCTGTTCCCCAGAGACCTGTTCACTGCAAGGTGTTGTGACACCTCTATTCTGACACATCTCAGTACTCCAGAGCTAAAGCTGAGAAATAGGGCTCCACATCAGCAGCATTCCTGCATTAAATGAGGAGGCAGGCCAGAAACAAGCCAGGTGGTAGAAACAGCATCCGTTATAAAAACACACTATAATATGGTATGGGCCACCTGCCCATTTGAAACATGAGTAAGAGGGTATTTGTTAGTTTATTGTGATGGGAAAGCTTGACTGCAATAGTTTGTATGACTCAGGCCAAAGCTCCAGTCATTAAGTAATCACAGTCATCTTAAATTTTGTCAGTGAACCAAAGGCAGTTACATGAATTCAAGAACTACTCAAATGAGTTGAATTTCGTTAAGTTGATGTCTCCCCTAAACCATTTTGGGGGAATAGTTCCTAATCAAAAATTAAGAGAACATACATTTATGTATAAAGATTCTGAACAGAAATTAAATATACCACATAACAAATCCTTTACAAATGTTTGACATGTTTAAGGTGATGCAGATTTATAAAATGTGTCCCTTACACAAGATTTTACTATAGTTTAGAAAATAACCTTGTAACTTATTTTTTATTTATATATTCATACATTTACATTACTAGGCTCTGTCAGTAAACATGCTGTGAAAGATTATCACCTAAGATATACTTGAGACATGTATATTTTTGTATACTGAGGGGAAAAAAGAAATTAAATTTAGTTTATGTTGCCCAAGCCTAGTTGCCTGATAAACTACCTGAACTCCTGTCATCAAAAGAATTAACATAATCTCTCAGCCATGATATAAATTGATAAATGCAGACTACTAATAAAAGAGATCAGTCAATCTACAACAGATATAGTAAGCAAAGGAGTGTGGGCTTGCAGGCTGACTTTCAATGCAGAGTTGAGGACCCTATTCTGACAAGTCTCCTGTTTTCCATTATTGTGAATCAGCTAAACATTCTCTTTCAGATTTACCTTTCCTGAGCATTAAGAGGGTTTTATTGCAAAGAAGAGAGAAAGATTAGGATGCACGATTATTACACAGAGAGGCGTTTTGGGTTTTTTGTATTTGTGAACTTTCCTAAGGGTACAAATGAGGATCTTAATCTCAAATGTTTTCTATAAAAGATATCATATTTGATCAAGGTATTGTATTTTGAAATGGTTTTTGATGTATTAGATTTCTGTCTTTGCAGCTGAGTATATCCTCTTGCTGTTGTACTGTTGCTTTAAGAACCCTTACAGAACCTACACAGGTGACGACAATTTGTCTGGGTCTTCAAAAGGAAGTAGGTTGAGAGAGTTGTTTCATGAGCACTGATGATAGCAAGAAGCTAAAATTTTTGCTTGGTTTGTGTCTGTTTTTTTGTACTCTAT